ATCAGAGTAAATATGATGAATCGCTTGAAGATCTAAATAAGTCATTAAAAGTACAACCATATAATCCTACAGCATTAACATTTCGTGGATTTATTTATCTAAATCAGAGTAAATATGATGAATCGCTTGAAGATCTAAATAAGTCATTAAAAGTACAACCATATAATCCTACAGCATTAACATTTCGTGGATTTATTTATCTAAATCAGAGTAAATATGATGAATCGCTTGAAGATCTAAATAAGTCATTAAAAGTACAACCATATAATCCTACAGCATTAGCATTACGTGGAATTATTTATCTAAATCAGAGTAAATATGATAAATCACTTGAAGATCTAGATAAGTCATTGGATATCAAGCCAAATGATGCTTGGGCATTAAAAATCCATGGAGATACTTATCTAAATATGCAAAGGTATGAGGAATCTCTTATAGATTTCACTAAATCATTAGAATTAAATCCAAATAATGTTTTAGCATTGAACAATCGAGGGGTAATATATCAACGTTTGAGCAGATATGAAGAATCGCTTAAAGATCTTAATGAAACTTTACAAATCGATCCAAATAACATTGCAGCATTAACTAATCGAGGATTAACATACCAACAGATGTGTGAAAACGAAAAATCGCCTAATGATTTTAATAAAGTATTAGAAATGAATCCAAATAGCGTAATAGAACTACGTATTCGAGGATCGATATACTATATGATGCGCAAATATAAAGAATCATTTAATGATGTTAATAAAGTATTAACAATTGATCCAAATGATATAGATGCTCTAAATTTACGTGGGCATTTATATCAATTATGGAAAGATTATGATAACTCTCTTGTAGATTTAAATAGCTCTTTAAAAATATATCCAAATAACATTAAAACACTTAATCTTCGTGGAACAACTTATCAAAGAATGGGTAGGTACGAAGATTCACTCACAGACTTTAATAAATCCTTAGAAATCAAGCCAAATGATGTAGAAACGTTATTTAATATTGGATTTACTTATCGAGAAATGGGTAGATATGAAGATTCACTTGCAAT